TAGTAAGCCTCCATAATCATCCTATGGCCTTCAAGAAAATCATAAATACCCCCAGACCATCACCACAACCCCATTCTGAGCTCACCTCTCGGTTTTGAATTCAGGGGCTCCCACAGGTCCCCTGGCGAGTCACTGTGTGGCTTGTAATTTTTGAAGCGCCCAAATGCAATGAAGAGAAGCGAAGGAATGAGAGAACTTGTCCACTGCCCTGCACTGATCCCAGTGGAGGTACAGGCTTCAGCCCATTTGGTTGGGAACGGGCCTGGGCTTGCAGGAGCTGGAACCCGCGTCGGAACCCTTGTGTCCTTACTCTCAGATCGGTGTCTGCAGACCCTCACATGTGGTCGGCGCAAGTAAAACGAGCAGAGAGAGCTGCCTTCTTAGCCCCCAGCCCAGACATTCTCCCTCAGTGGAAACCAGGGAGGCCTTTAGAAATCACATTCATTATGATTTAATTCTCAGTGGGTTCATTTAATACTCAGCACGGGCACGCGCCCACACACACCCTCACACACCTTCATTTATCTGTGGTTGATGGAGGGAGAGACCGGAAACATGCACCTTCTCCGTACCCGGCACCACGATACCTAGTTTGCTAGTTCCCCTTTATGGATCTGGGGGGTAGCCCGTAGGTTTAGAGATGCGAACTAACTACGGGTGCAAATTGGCAGAGCTACCCAAGGGCAGCCTGCCTTCCCTAGACTCTCATTCTAGTCGGCTCCGTCATGGCTGAAGGACCCCTCTCAAAATTAGGGTTAAAGCGCGCAGAGATTAAAGAGGGACCATATCCTAGGACAAGATCTAGGAACCGTCCCTTAAATCATACCTCTAAGGAGAAATCCTTGCTCTTGTCTGGGGTCACAGCCACCAGATGCAGGCAGCTGGCCAGAACTGGGGATTCACTCAGTGCTACATTGGGAGACTGAAGTTCCCTACAGAGGGGCAAAAGATCTAGTGCAGAGGGTATGGGAGCTGTTAGGGAAAGGGCTAGATGCTCTCCTCCCTAGGGCTTAGGGACTACACCCATCAGCCTGGGAAATAGAGCATCCAGTTCATTCTTCTATCGGCCCAGCTGCTCTGAAAACCAGACCCTTTCTCGACTTTCGTGCAATGCTCTGGTGGACTTAGAAACAAAATGAAGGCAACGTCTTCGGGTCGCGATATTGGAAACCATGATGTTCATTAGCCACTCTGTCTTGGGGGAACATTCCTATTCATGGAGAAAATTATCTCTCTGACCAGGGTCTTCTAGTTGCTCTGAAAAGAGTTGATCAGCCTGACTTCTTAGGGTGAAGTAAAGACAGAAAAACAATGAAACCAGAGCGAGGGTTGGAATGTAATCACCATCTATTTACCTGGTGGCAGAGAGTTCCTGGAATCTGGTTTTTAAACCCTGAGTCATGCCTCACTCGTGGCTTATGAGATCATCGTTGGGGTCATGACCAATATTTTAAGAACTAGGATGGGATGGGACGGGCTACGAGAAAACGGAGCAGAACAGAAGAGAAGGAAATAAAATCGAGAAATACTAAGGGGCTTCCAAAATTTCATGGAAGCTATTCCATCTTCTTAATCCCAAGTGCCCACACACTGGTTCAAGGGCCTCTCCTTTCACGGCCCTGCGCACAGGAAGAAGAAGTACGTTTCACGTCATTTTTATTTCAGTAAAAATGTGAATGTGTGCCTATGTGTAAAATACATTTCTTCCCTGTTGGTTATACGTTTGAAACAGCCCTGGCTCGGGGGAGACGAAGATCAATACATGCACCAGGCAGACACTTGCTCTTGTCTTCGTCATTCTGTGACATGCATGCATGGCTTGCTTTTGGCTCAGAACCAATCCGCTCGGAACCTACGGGCCCAGGGGTGTTTTCAAGCAGAATGTTCTGGACATATCGATGTGCTCATCTTTCTTCAGGTCCTCCACGAAGTAGATGTGCCGCTTAGATTAAAACTAGCTGTGGCGAGTTAGTAGCAGAGGTGGAACCTGAATTCGATTATTTATGGATTCTTTTGAGGCTGGAAAAAGCAGGGTGAGCCACGGAGGTCAGTGAGCAGCTGTTCTTCCGTAGCTGGAGATAGGGAGGGAGAGCGGAGGACTTTGAATGCAGCTGCACCGATCAGGCTAGACCTGGGAAGGGGTCCCCTTGGTGGGGAGTGGCCTCCTGGGTGTCATTGCCCCGCCCAGTCTCGGAAAGAGTCGACGGAATGGCCCGCTGCCCTGTCCTTCTTGTTGGGGCGGCAGCAGGGTGGTGAGGCCGAGTTTTTCTCCTCCCCTCCGTGTCCCCACGCTCTCCCTCCCATGAACCAGGGTCAGCTGGAGCCGGCCGCGCTTCTGCCCTCCGTTGTGGATGGAGGTGGCAGATCCCTCGGGCCGCAGTTCGCTTGCTTTTCATCCGGATGTCAGACGCAGCCCGGACAGCTGTGATCAGCTGCTGGAAGAGGGGAGCGAGGCGTGGCGGGGGAGGGGGTGGGCAGGGTCTGGCCTCTTGCCCAGCTTCGGTCACGTGCTTAGTATCCATCCCTCAGTCTGTCTCTCTCCGCTGCCGACTCCGTCATGCGTCTCTTTCTGGTTTTCCTGCAGGCGTCTTTTCTGGGCCTCACTTTGCTCTTCCATCACCTCCCGGCCTGTTAGAACAGCTCATTCACTCAGGATAAGGAGGGAGGTAGACCAGTGTCATTTCTAAACCCCGCCACCTGCTGACTGCACCCCTTGGTGAGAGGAGAGCTCAGAGTGTTGCCTTGACTCTGCCCCTGGCTATCCAAGAGGCCTAGGGCAAGCGATTCCATCGGGCACCTCGGGTCCCTGTGTCACGTAGACATGATGTCCCCTGAGGATGTTGTCAAGATTCAGTGAGACACTTCCAGGAAAGCGCCTTACTCAGGATCAGCAGAGAGCACCTGTTCAGTAGCTATGGGTCCCCAACCACCCCAACCCCTCTCTAGGCCAGGCCCTCCCCTACCTTCCTCAGCAACCCTACCCACTGCTGGGGTGACCTTCTGCCTCCCCACCTCCTCCTTCAGCACCGGGCTTGTTTGGCTGTTTGGAGCACTGAACATTGGTTGAAGTCCATGGAGAAACCAATCCCAGGCATGGCCACAGCCCTTCTGGACCCAGCCCTGGTCCTATTTTCCAGATAAAAGGCTTAGAAAAGTGTGAGTCAGAGAAAACATATTGGCTTTCACATGAGTCACCCCAGAATGGGGGTGAAAGGCAAGACGAGGGAAAGCCCTGGTCCACTCCATGGGCCCGAATGCATGGCCGGCAGCGGCTTTCTGCTTCTGCAAGCACATGCATGGGCATGGACAGGACACTGGCCAGCCATGAGTGTGACCGTCTCCCCGCCCCCATTCAGTCCGTCCGGTTTGTCTGGCTCAGTTCCTGTTGGTTCACCAAGCTGGCCCGGGCTCTCTCCTGGACTCCTGAAGCAGCTGGCTGTGAGTGAAGGCTGGGGTGGTTGGCTGGACCTACATCTTCCTTGAGTCCACAGGCTGTGAAGCACGGTGTGAAGCAGCAGGGGGCGCCTCTCTACTTCACAGAGCCCCCAGGTGAGTGGCAAGTCGGGGTGGAGTGACCCCGTGTTCACTCTCTAGCGTCCTGGGAGAAGAAGCCTGAAGCGGAAGGAGATGCAGAGAATGCCTGCCTTCTCTAGGCCCGCTGCTCTTCGGAAGGTTGGCAGTGGCTCCATCCTCAGAAGTGGACAGCCGATTCCTTCATCGCACAGCCTGGTCTTGGTCTGGAAGCTCCCCTGAAACCTGTTCGCTTTGGGTGACCCTGCGGGCATTGGAAAGACCGGCGGCATGGCTTCCACCGTCACAGCAACACGCAAGTCACCCCAGCGCGACAGACTGACAGACACGTGGTGATTGGTAAAGTAGCGGGACAGCGGAGAAGGGGAAGACCCTTAACGATGGATTGACACAGGACTCCAGCAAAAGGCTCCCCAAGAACAACCATTCTGAGGATGGCACAGGACCGGACGGTGTGCGATTTGGTGGTACACAGGGTCACCGTGAGCCCAAGCGGACTCAGTGGCAATGAACAATAACAACAACACAGTGACATTGGGCTTTCGGTTGTTTGTGGGCTGGGTTGTGGATCCCCAGCTTGTCCTCGCCCATCCACGCCTTGAGGTTGAGAGTAAAGGGTCTGCCTGCTGCTCTAATTCTTGGGGTTGAACCCAGAGACAGCAAGACCCACCGCCCTTCCCACCATCTCCTCCCCGTTCTTAACACTACGTTTCTCTTTGGTCAGGTTTAAGGATTACCGAGAGCCGCCCTGGGCCACCAACGCATATGAGTTTTCCAAACAGTACTGGGCCGTTCTGTCTGCCCGGCTAGCTTTTGTCATCATCTTTCAGGTGAGTGGTTCCAAACAAGGAGGAGCCCCTTAGGCAAGACAAGCCAAAGCAGGAATCTGGTGCTGTCCCACTGGCATCCCCTCGCTTCCAGGGTTCCTTGGGCCCTCTGCGACATCGGGGACTTGGCAGGTGGTGGACAGACTGGAAGGCCCCCTCCCCTGTGTGAGACAGGGAAGATTTGAGAGGGGACTCCTGGGATGGATGGTCTCTGCAGAAGGAGAGCGAAACAGACTGAGGTTACCAGGCAGACACGGCACGCATTGCTGGGGGGAGCTGGAGGGCCCGCTTCAACCTGAGATGCACAGAGCCATCTCTGGTGCAGACAAACAGCCTCACTTGGCCTCTGCCGCCCAGGAAGGGCTCGAGTCCGGAGCTTTGCTTCTCTCTCTCTCCCTCCTGGCTCCCTCCTTTGTTCGCCTGGTTTTAGCCTCAGAGACATCTGGTGGGAAAGGCCCCCAGAGCCATCGAGCCATGCCCGGATGAATAGCAAACCCGAGCCCATGATTCCTATCTCGGACAATAGCCAGGGCTCCGATTGCATTGCCAGATTCCCACTCCCAAACAGCCGTCCTCCAGAGGCCGGAGCTCAGGGCAAATTCTTTGCTTTCTGGCTCCCTCGGCTTTTGTATCCCCTGAAGGCAGCTCTCTGGGGGCTCCAAAGTTTCCTGCCCTGCAGACCCCAGTCCAGGAAGGGGAGAAGCCCACCGGCTAGGCTTTCACCTAAAGGAGACAGCCAGTCTTCACCTTGGAAAGATGGAGTAATAGATTTGAAACGCTGTGCAGACATCCCCCTGCTGTCCCCCCGCAGGAGTTTCTGGACTGCACCATATGTCGCATGTCAGCCCACATCTCAGCTTTCATTTATGTAGGCCACTACATCGAGCCACTAACTACAAGGTTAGTGATTTGAAGCCACCAGTTGCTCTGAGAAAGGAAGATGAGGCTGTGTGCTCTTGTAAAGATGAAAGGTCTCAGAAACCTACAGGGGCAGTGTTAGTCTGTCCACTCTTCCACCGAAAGGTGGCCTTCACTGGTCATGTATGGGATCGTGATGGAGAAGGACGTGGCTCCTTAGAGCCAAAGCAGAGAACTACCTGGTCAGGGAGAGTGTGGGCAGGGTTTCCCAAACAGGTGGGTCTGTTAGGGTTGCTACAAACGAGAGAGAGCAGTTCAGGTGAGTGAAAGCCACTGTGGT